AAAAGTGTATATGAAAAACAAGTTTTAAACAATTAAAAATAAGCACCAAAAATCGGTGAAGACTAAAAAATAAGCACCATGAGTCATTTGCATAATATTGTCAAATAATTATATAATATTATATTACTGGAGCACCGTATGAGCTGCGATTTGCACTTTCCAAAGACCATCAAGCTAAAAAAGTGACAACTTACTACAACGAATTCAACACGGCGTCGTAGAAGAATTATTTACTTTTTGACCATATATACATATATATGTATATACACGGAAGCGCGTTTTGTAAAATATTGAAAAGATATTTATTAAATGGTGACACTACAGACTACTTTTCAAATTATACTACCAATTGGGGTCACAAAATGGGACACTTAAATTATGTTTAAAATAAATTTAGAAATAATATGGTTTTTTTTTTATTTTTTTTAAAAAAATTAATACTCAAATTAATTATGAAAAATTTATAAGTTGTATTAAAATTCATAATTAAAAGAGCAATTTTTAAAAAATTATGAGGCGTAAAACATATAAATAACTATAAAAAATATATAAATAAGTATAAATTATAAGGTAGAAAAGCACTATTGATAACTTCAGATTTAGTCATACCAATTCACTGCACTGCACTACATTGCATACGTATATATAGTGTTAGAAATAATGTGTAAATATTCATAAGTAATTTATTTGTGATAAGTTAAAAAAAACATAAATCTATAAAAATAATAAGAATGTATATATATATATTGAGAGATGCCTTAAAGAAACAAACGTCACCTTTACATACATATCCAATAATGTTGTTTCAACTAAGTCTGGAGTGAGCTGTACAATTTATGGCCTGAGCAATAATTAGATTAATGCTTTCAAGTAAACCTCAAAATTAATTAGTACGTCATAAAAATTACCGTTAATTATTTTAATTTTATATTTGTTGGTAACATCATATATAAATAATAATAATTTTGAGGTTAAAAATATATTAATTTGTATAATAAAAAGTGAAATATCAGTTTCAAAGGCTTGTTGCGTTTATGCAATTTAATGGTAATCCGTGCAAACTTGTAACCAGAACCGCAAATACTTTGGAGAAAAAGAAATAGTGGCCAGGTTTCTTAATAGCTGTGGGACCCACCCACCTTTAATTTAGCCTTAATTGTGACTACAATCCCATCACGCAAATTTTTATATATATATATATATTATTATTATTATTATTTCAGTAATTTGCAAAGATAAAAAATCAATAATTAATTAAATTATGATATTTACTAAATCTGATCTGAAAATCACAGCCGTTTATCCGGGGGAAAATAAAATCACAGGATATCGAATGAAAAAAAAATATATAAAACAAAAAGTTTTCATTGGCTAGACACCTACTAGCCAATAAAATATCGCCACGTCATAATTTAAAATTAGTACTGTCTACACTTTTTAGATTTTTTTTTATTTAAAATTATTTGATTATTCAGATAATTAATTTTATAATTTATACCTAAACCGACCCCTGGATCTAACGGAGATGAAGACTTGAAGATGCTGCACAGGAAATGTGAATCCGTTATTTTCTAAAACAGATAAGGATATTTCTGTCATTTCGCGTAATCTTCTGATCCTGCTAACTGTCTAAATTCTACAGAGAGCCGTGTATATATATATATATATATATATGGGGAGACTCCATACTTCCCTCTCCAATTCGTGGTACAGTCCCTTTGCTTCTTTACATTTTCTCTCTTTAAGCTCTCTCTTTCTCTCGGATTAGTTTTTCTCAATCTGCGCTGGTTGATCTTGATCTGAATCGAACTTGTAAGTCAAGGTGCTATATTTTGTAGGAGTGTATTGATCTGCTATTCATTTCTCTGAGTGTTTCGTGATCTGGTTGTTTCTGTGTTTTATTGGATCTGTTGATAAATGTGAGAATTTTACTAATTGGATCGCTAGCTTAGATTCAATTCACTGCATTTTCTTGCTTACTTGGATCTGGATCCCTGTGCTATGATAACTGAAATGGCTGTTCCTTATTTGACACCGGATTTGACTGTTTTTATTGTCAAATACTTGTCGGTGGCGTTAATAATATTTTGGTTCTTATTGAAGATCTGTTTATTGTGTATTGGTTTCTTATAGTTCTTATGGGATCTGGTAATTTAGGTTGTTTCTTGATGCTATTTTGTTGAATTTTGAGGATAATTCTTCTATTGTATTCCATGTTGATCGGGACCCTTTTAGGACTTTGGGAAACCTTGTGGCAGCTATATGCAATTACTCAGCATCTTAAAATTGATGTTGTTGGTTATTTGTTTTGTTAATTTTCATTCGCTATGTCATAAGTTTTTTTGTTGAAATGAGGATTCGTTTTTCTTTCCTCCTCCCCAAGTTTCTGGAAACAATTTGAAGCTATGACGTACTAATTAATTTCATTACCTTGGAAGGACAATGCTCTCAGATCTGTAACTTAAGGTCATTGTTAGGGAATACCATGCCTTTAATGATGGGATGCTTTGTTAAATAGTTTTTTCTTTTCTACTAAGGTTGAATTTTCAATCAAGCTGGGAAATTTCTTTTCATTTCTTTAAAGATTTTTTTTTTCTTCGTGTGGTTGCCTTTGGATTTTACTTTTCTATGTTTTGTCTAACTTGTAGATCTGACATGTTCTATATGTTTCTTATTGCCCTAAAGTTGGTTTGACATGGCGACCTATACACCCAAGAACATCCTTATTACGGGTGCTGCTGGGTTCATTGCATCCCATGTTGCAAACAGGCTCATCCGTAACTATCCTGAGTACAAAATTGTTGTTCTCGACAAGCTTGATTACTGCTCAAATCTGAAAAATCTTCTGCCCTCCAAATCTTCTCCTAACTTTAAGTTTGTTAAGGGGGATATTGGCAGTGCTGACCTTGTGAACTATCTCCTCATCACTGAGTGCATTGACACGATCATGCATTTTGCAGCCCAAACTCATGTTGACAACTCCTTTGGTAATAGTTTTGAGTTTACCAAAAACAATATCTATGGGACCCATGTCCTTCTTGAAGCCTGTAAAGTCACTGGCCAGATTCGGA